GGCGGGGATCTGGTCACACAGCACCCTGGGGGGGGGGGTGTCGGGGGTCCGGTAACACAGCGCCCCAGGGCAGCAGAGACGGGGCACAGATGGGGGGGCAGGTCACGCAGCACCCCAGGGGCCGGGGAGAGGACACGCGGGGGTGGGCAGGTCGCACAGGAACAGGACACGGGGGCGCGGCGCGCGGTGCGGTAACACAGACACCCCCCTCGCCCGTCAGTCCGTCCCTGGCTCGCCACAGGCCAGGCCCTACCTCGCTGCGGGGCCGGGGCAGGCGCTGGTGCTGGCGCTGGAAGTCGTGCAGGGCCTGGAAGGCCAGGTGCAGTTGGGCCGGGTGCTCGAACTTCCCGAAGTCGGTCACCACGAAGTCGGGCTCGGCCAGCGCCACGCTCAGGGGCTTCTGTGGGGAGCGGGGTGGGGATGAGGGGCAGCGGCACAATCCCCCATCCTCTCACCCCCTCCAACCTGACCCCCAACAGGGGAAGGAACCGGGGTCCCAGGCTTGGCTCACAGACCGACAGCCTGAGCACGCACAGACCCACGTGAAGCTGAATGATGTTCACTCTGAACCCTACTGATGACAGACACAAGCTTGGCAGCACCCAGAGAACAGAGAACCCCTCTTCCCCCCAATTCCAGTGACTACGGTTCCCCCTCTGCAGGGAAAGGGGGGTGCCCAAATCCCCAGGGCAGAAAGGACCCTGCAATCCCCCACTCTGCCCTCGCCAGGGGACACTGTCCCCGCTGCCGAGCTGCCCCTTGGCCCCGGGCTGGAGGGGGCAGGTGAGGAAGGAGCTGGGGAAGCAGCCGTCCCCCCCTTGGGCCCCTGAGCCCGGGAGTCGAGGTCCCCACCCCCACGTGAGGGGAGAGCCAGGGCCCAGGGCTGCCCAGCCGCCCCAGGAATGCGGGTCAGGCCCCACTCACAAAGCTGATCTTCTGGGGCATCTTGACCTGGGAGACGATGCCCCCCCGCACGTACTCGGAGAAGCTGCTGGTGTCGCCGATGCTGAAGGTGTAGGGTCCTGTGGGGGAGAGCAGGGGTCAGCGACGTGGGGTGTATGGGGCAGGGAGAGCACCCCCTGCTAAGCTCCCCACAGCACCCGGCCCTGCCCAGGGAGAGCGCCCCCTGCCCAGCCCCCCACGACACAGCACCCCCCAGGCCCCTGTCCCGCTCCCTGGGGGTGCCCAGCATCTCACCCAGCACTTTGATCTCCATGGGGGGGCAGTGGTTGAGCTCCTTCATGCCATCCACCTCCGTGAAGGAGACGAAGTCCCCGCTCTCAAAGCCGTGCCGAGCCTCGTCCAGGCAGGTCACCTCCCCCGGGCAGCCCTGCCGACGCGGAGAGGGGTGAGCCCAGCAGTGCCAGGAACAGAACCCAGGCCCCACTCCCCTCCCAGAGCCAGGGGGAGAACCCAGGCGTCCTGCTTCCAAGCCCCCCCACCCCTAGACCCCACTCCCAGAGCCAGGGGGAGAACCCAGGCGTCCGGGCCAGCATTACCTTGGTGATCATGGAGATCATGGCGCTGAGCGGCTGCTCCCCGTTGGTGTCTGTCACAACCATGTCGTCCCCGAAGTCACAGAAGAGCTGGCTGTGGGGAGAGGGGTGAGCGCGGGGCAGGCAACCCAGCCCCCCACCAGCCCCAAGAACCCCC